CTCTCCCTAAATTTCATTAACCAGAGAAGACTGAAACTTGTCTGACAGAGGAAGAGACTAAAAATTAAATATCACACCTAGAGAGCTCAGAGGAACTTTGTCCAGACTGTTGTCTGTTTTCAGATCCCATTCAGTTTCCAAAGAGAATGCTTTACTAAGATCCCATTCAGTTTCCAAAGAGAATGCTTTACTAAGATCTCATTCAGTTTCCAAAGAGAATGCTTTACTAACCATTATCCGAACAGTATGCCCGTTCATTCTTGCTAAAAATCGTTTACTGCCCTTCAAAATGGCCTCATTTTCCTCATGTCCCCTTCCCCTGTGAAGAAGGGTATATAGTATATGAAACTCACTCGGTTATTGGGTAATCATTCTCTTGCAATTTTCCCCATGTTTATGCACCTTAAATAAATTTGTATGCCCTTTTCTCCTATTAATTTGTCTATTATCAGTTCATTTTCAGCGAACCTTTAGAGGGCAGAAGGGAAGCTTTCCTTTTGGCAAGTGATCTTGAAAGAAAGGTTTCTTTATCTGGCATAAAGAAGGATGGAGAAAGGAAGCATTGTTGTACCTCTGACTTTGTAACAAATTACCATAAAGGAAGAATATTTTTCATCTACTATTGTTAGAATAAGATAGAACCATCAAAAATATAATTATGTGATTAATTGAAAAATAAAGCAAATTTAAACGTATGTTTTATGGAACCTCTTTCATTGTTTTTCATTTTGTTGTTAGTAAGTAGTAGTTATACTAAGCAATACAGGTCTCAATTTCACTGTGAATAAAGACTGTCAAAAATCAAGAAATTTAAAAAAAAGGTTTTTTCATTACTAATGTCAAAATCGTACTGTTTTTAAGAATTTGTAAAGTCTAGAAATGGGGCCATTCGCCATTTTGTTTTATGCCATAGATCATCCTCGGTTTTTTTTTGGTGGGCAAAATGCTGCTATTTATAAAACTCTTCTTCTAAAGAATTTTCCTAAATCTTATTCTCAATCTTATTCTGGGTGATGGGTCCTGGACAGAATAGCTTACTTCCTTTAAAGGTAACTTTTTGTTTCATCTTTACTACCTACTGTGTTGTCTTTTCTTATGTGGAAGTTGACAGACATGCTCTATTCTCATACTAATAGTCTATTTTTTTTAAAGTAATCACAATAAATTCAGTATATCTTAAGTCTTTTGGCTTCCTGTGAACTTCTTCCATTGACAGTTTTCTCTTACCACTGAAACATCAACTATATTGTATCTGCTTTATCTAATACTCAGAAGCAAAGAACCTATGTGACCAGTATCAAATTTTATTTTTTAGATCTGACACCTAAAGTCTTGCTGTTCTATCCTCAATGCTGTTAAAAACTTCTGAGGTTCCAGTTTTATTATATGGTGACTTCATTGGCTCCTGTCTTCCTCAGTCTGCTTCTTCTTGGGTAGCTTGGGAATTCTGTGCTATGGTGATATGTCTGGTTACAATTTGTAAGTCAGCCTACACAGCCAGACCATGTGGCTTAAAGTAATTTTTATCCATCTTATTTTTTACTCTTAGGCAATGCGGAATATCAATCCCAGCACAGCAAATTCTCCAAAATGTCAGGTAGGCTCTTATCTGATGTTTTAGCACTGAAAAAAAAAAAAAAAAAAAAAAGAAGGTATTAGGAAAGAGAAACTTACATTCCAGGGTCCTGTCCTTATTGGACATTAGCCCAGAGTATAGCTTTGAGCCATCTTTCTACCAACATATACTCAGGTTAACATTGACCTTCCAAGAAAGTCTACACAATCTGCCCCCTCCCTGCCCTTCCTAGCGAGTTTCTGTTTGAGTCCATGGAGGTCTTTTTTATTCTGTATTTGTAATGTATTGTGTCTCAGTTGTACATCCTATCAGCTTCTAGGTATGCCTAATTTTTATTATAATAGCTTAAAATAATATGTGTAATGATAAAGAAATTAATAAATTGAACAGTAACAAAAGCAGTAAACATTACTTATTTGGGTAGGCTAGTTTAGGAAATCTTGTTAGAGTCATGGTACTATGAGGAAGAGAAAAATTCTTTTTAGTGGACATTCCAAAGGAAAAATATCAAAATTATCAGGAGAGGATCTGCCTGGATAGTGTTTCAAGCTTTCTTGTTGGCTTTTATCAGGATTCTCTCTTATGAACTCCAGGGAGCCCTGGTTGTTTAGGCATCTTATTTAGAAGGAAAGATTGTGGCCATTTTTTCTTCTAACACAGGTACTTGTCTGTCTCATGGGAAGAATCTCATTTTTGAAACCAAAAAGATTTTATGTGTTTGGGGCCCACAAGATCAGCAGAAATTTGGAGCCGGAGGATCATTGTACTTCTTTCTCTTGGGGCAGAAGCAACCATAAAATGCCTCACATTCTATGTAGCTCATTCTGTACTAGGTTAAATAAGTGTATTGTTTCAGAATCTGCTGTAGAAGTGGGAGTTGGCAAAATTCTACTCATTTTGGATACTGGCAAATTGTCCATTGGAGCACCATATTAAAGTCAGATACAGTCTTGGATAGAGACCAGTTAATTTTATGACAGGGAAAATCTCTATTCTTCTTTATCTCATAAATGCCTGCATTTAATCAAAAGTCCAAGCAAGGGATAACTCATAATAATCCATCTTCCCAAGTTGAGCATAGACGTTCTTATGATGAGGGAGCACTAATACTACATTTGACTGTGAACTGCAGCATAGGATTGGATCTTTGTAACATGAAACCATTTTTTCTTTGCCATTTCTCTGAAGTGTTTCTGAAAGAAGACTTTTATTCATGATAAATGAAATAGAAACTAATATAGGAGCAGAAATTAACTCAGAGGAGATTTGGATTCAGGTAATTAGTCCTCCATGCAAAAAATGTTGAAATTGTTTCCTTGTTTCTTAAGGTCTTATACCCTGAATCTGGTAAATTATTCTTGATCTTTATTTCATACTTGAATAGAAAAGTAAATCGTTACTGTTATTAAAATTATCAAGAATTCTTAGACTTTTTTTTAAAATAGTAAAGCTTTAGAAAAGGTGAGGCTTATTAGTAGTAAAACTTCTAAGATATGGGGTTAGAGGTAATTACTTGATTTGCCCAGATCAAAGCAAAAAAGTTGAAAGAGATTTTTTAAAATCTCTTTTGCATATGCTGGATATTAAAATATTGGTTTGTTATATATGCTTTAGTTGTCAATGTATAATATTTACCTGGCATAATTGTGGAAAATTATCAGTAAATGTACCAAATTCCAGTCGAGGGTTATATTTGAAACAGCTCAGATCAAGAAATCTGGTGGTATTTGTATCAAGAAAGCATACATATATTTTTCTCATCCTATTATTTTCTAAAGAACATTAAGGTAGATGTCTGGAAATAGATCGCAAAGAAGAGTCACATCTTTTTTTTTTTTTTTTTTTTTTTTTTTTTTTTT